AACTCCTGAAGGCCCCAATCTTAGCCTATGCAGATTTCACCCAGCCGTTTCTCCTGTACACTGACGCCAGCAATGCAGGATTGGGGGCCGTGCTGGCCCAAGAGCATCAAGGAGTGGAGAGAGTGATAACGTACGCAAGTCGAAGTTTACATCCCGCCGAGCGAAACGCTGCAAACTATAGCTCCTTTAAAATCGAACTACTGGCGATGAAGTGGGCCATGACGGAGAAGTTTAAAGACTACTTGTGGGGAGCCAAGGTAACGGTGATTACAGACAACAATCCCTTAGTACACTTGCAATCCGCTAAGTTGGGGGCAGTGGAGCAGCGCTGGGTGGCACAACTAGCAAATTATGATTACCAGCTTAAATATCGTCCCGGCAGAGAGCACGTAAATGCAGATGTCTTGTCCAGACTCCCAGCCACCCAGAGAGATGATCGAGCACCCCTCGGTGCCCTTGGTACCGAAGATGAGTTGCTGGTGGCCATGGTGGGAGCTCCCGGGGCCCCATAGCCTGTTCCATATAGTTAGGGGTGGGACACCGGACGGTGGAGAGAGCTGCAGCAGAGAGATGCAGATTTGGGTCAGCTCCTGTTGTACCTCCGACAGGGAAACATGCCGAGGGCAGAGGAGAGACAGACTTAGACGGTGGGGGTACGACAGCTTGTGAGACAGTGGAAGAGGCTGCAACTCCGAGAAGGAGTAATCTGTCGTTCAAGGCGGGATCCCCGCACACAGGAGACTGTACACCAAGTTGTTGTACCAGAGGGCCAAGTTTCGGAGCTGTTGAATGCCTATCACACCCATACTGGCCATCAGGGCCAAGAGAGGACACTGTCCCTGCTGAGGAGGTATTTCCACTGGCCTAGGATGGAAAAGAAAGTTGAGGAATTTGTTCAGAGCTGCCCACGGTGTACCTTGTTCAAACGCAGGAAGGAGGTTCGAGCCCCATTGGTCCCCCTGCGACCGAAAGCACCTCTGCATATCGTAGGGATAGATTTCCTGACTCTGGGTCGACCAACAGACCGATTCCAGAATATTCTGGTCATGACCGACCTATTTACTAAATATGCCTGGGCCGTCCCCACCGTCGATCAAACGGCAGTTACCACAGCCAACGCCCTTTGGAGAGCAGTGATACAACCTTTTGGCTGCCCAGAAACCCTACACTCGGACCAAGGTTCAAATTTCGAGTCCCGGGTCATCGGACCAAGGTTCAAATTTCGAGTCCCGGGTAATCCAAGAGCTGAGCCGCTTCTATGGGTGCCGAAAGACCCATACGACCTCATACCACCCTCAGGGTAACGGAGGGTGCGAAAGATTCAACCAGACCTTGCTGGGGTTGCTGGGGACCCTAGAGAGTGAACAGGGCCAATGGACCGAGAGTCTTCCCTCGCTGTTACAAGCATACAACAACAGTGTGCACAGTGTCACCGGTTATGCTCCTTCCTACCTTATGTTTGGGCGCGACCTCCGCTTGCCTGTGGACTTGCTCATGGGGACCGAGGCTGCGGAAAGAGGGTATAGTACCACTGACTGGGTAAATCGGCACCACCACCAACTGCTCAATGCCTACCGACGAGTCTCAGACCATCTGAGTGCAGCAGCCGCCAAGAATAAGAGACTATACGACCGGACTGCCCGAGAGGCCCCTTTGTTACCTGGGGAGCGAGTGCTGGTACGGGACAACCGGCGCCCAGGGAAAGGGAAGCTCAGTGACCGCTGGGAGTCGACGCCATATGTGGTGGAACAACGACAAGGGCCTGATGCCCCCGTCTACTCTGTACGGCCCGAAGGGAAGCCAGGACCAATACGGGTGCTCCATCGAAACCTGCTCCGTCCCTGTCCGAACTACCCGCAACTAGCGGCTGAGGCCCCAAGTGCACCACTCGCCTCAGAGGCACCTATGGTAGGGTGGGCTGTGGTCCCGAGGGACCCCGAAGTTGAAGCCAGAGCGGCTCCGCCCTCGCCACCCCGACGATCTCAACGGAACACCCGAGGACAACCACCTGAGAGGTCCCCAGGGACTGGAACCGATTGGCAAGGGGGGATGTCACGGGTGACAAAATCGCTCAGTAAAAGGAACCTTCTTGAGAGTCCCGAGTTTCCTAGGGGAACGTATTGGGTGCAACACTCCACTACGGTTCCGTGTGTGATGGAAACATGCCCGTACTGATTAGCGCTAATGCATGGCAGGTGTGAGACAGAGAGGAGCGGCGCTCACACAGGCTTCCTGTTTCATAAGCCACAATATAAAAGGAGCATTTAGAGAGTGTTTGGAGCGCGGTCGGTGGGTGTACAGTGTGTCAAGATTCCAAAGGGTTGACAAGATCAGACATTAAAGTGGGTTGACTTTGGGCAGTGCTGGATACAGGCTTCCTCTGAAAAATCGTTGGGGTGTGGAGATCGCCCATTCGAGTTTGCTGGGTCAGAGTGATTGTTTGTGGGAAGACTGCTGGACCGAGCTAGGACTGGATCTGTGCTGTGGAAGGAGAGAGGAAAGATAAGTGAATTGTTTTCATCTTATGGACATTTGAACCGCTTGAAGAGGATATAGTGAATGTGGATCTGACTGTTGGAGGAGCTATGTGTTTCAGAGTGTGATGAGGAGGAATTAAAAGTGAAACCCCTGTAAACGAGCGCAACGGACGGAGTGGGGCCTCTGTCCAACCCTATCGTGTGAGTGAATTGCAGTGCTTTTGCCTTATTAATACACATTGATTTACTGCTGTGGAATTGAAGTGAACACAAGTGTGCTGTGTCTTTGTTGAGAAGTGGCCCCTATCCATGCTTACATGTTCGTGGAAGGATATTATATCTGCCCCCGTCAGAAGCCCAGAGTGATATGAAGAGAACTGAAGAGAGAGTACTGTGTACTGTGAATGTCTTCACCTGTTCTACTTACTGTTTGAGCCCAGAAGCATACAGCATCGCTAGTAAAATAATCGTTTAACCCACTGTCGCCCTACTGTGAACTGAGGAGAGAGTACTTTGTACTGTGAAGATCCCCACCTGTTCTACTTGCTGTTTGAGCCCAGAAGCACACAGCATCGCTGGTAAAGTAATCTTATGACTCACTGTCTCCCTATTGTGAACTGAAGAGAGAGTACTGTGTACTGTGAATATCCTCACCTGTTCTACTTACTGTTTGACCCCAGAAGTATACAGCAACGCTGATAAAGTAATCGTTTAACCCACTGTTGCCCTACTGTGAACTGAGGAGAGAGTACTTTGTACTGTGAAGATCCCTACCTGTTCTACTTGCTGTTTGAGCCCAGAAGCACACAACATCGCTGGTAAAGTAATCTTATGACTCACTGTCTCCCTATTGTGAACTGAAGAGAGAGTACTGTGTACTGTGAATATCCTCACCTGTTCTACTTACTGTTTGAGCCCAGAGGTATAGAGCAATGCTGATAAAGTAATCATTTAACCCACTGTCGCCCTACTGTGAACTGAAGAGAGAGAGAGTACCCTGTACTGTGAAGAATCCTCACCTGCCATACTTGCTGTCTGAGTCTGGAAGTCTGCGGCACCGCTGGGGGAAAAGTAAGCTTTTAATCCACTGCTTTATTATCGTGCACCAACGAGAGTACTCTGTACTGTGAAGAATCCTTACCTGCCATACTTACTGTCTGAGTCTGGAAGTCTGCAGCACCGCTGAGGAGAAGTAAGCTTTTAATCCACTGCTTCATTACCGTGCACCAACGAGAATACCCTGTACTGTGAAGAATCCTTACCTGCCATACTTACTGTCTGAGTCTGGAAGTCTGCAGCACCGCTGGGGGAAAAGTAAGCTTTTAATCCACTGCTTCATTACCGTGCACCAACGAGAGTACCCTGTACTGTGAAGAATCCTTACCTGCCATACTTACTGTCTGAGTCTGGAAGTCTGCAGCACCGCTGGGGGAAAAGTAAGCTTTTAATCCACTGCTTCATTACCGTGCACCAACGAGAGTACCCTGTACTGTGAAGAATCCTTACCTGCCATACTTACTGTCTGAGTCTGGAAGTCTGCAGCACCGCTGGGGGAAAAGTAAGCTTTTAATCCACTGCTTTATTATCGTGCACCAACGAGAGTACCTTGATGTTAACATGAATTGATGCAGTAGTAAATGTGTGAGTTAACATTAACAAATATTAACTAATGCTGAACAGATATGTTGTTCATGGTTAATTCATGTTAACTAATGCATTAACCTATGTTAACTAATTATGATATTAACGTTAATTGATGCATTAGTAAATGTGTGAGTTAATGTTAACAAATATTAACTAATGCTGAACAGATATGTTGTTCATGTTAATTCATGTTAACTAATGCATTAACTAATGTTAACTAATTTTGATGTTAACATGAATTGATGGTTTAGTAAATATTTGGGTTAACATTAACAAATATTAACTAATGCTGAACAGATATGTTCATGGTTAATTCATGTTAACTAATGCATTAACTAATGTTAACTAATTATGATATTAACGTTAATTGATGCATTAGTAAATGTGTGAGTTAATGTTAACAAATATTAACTAATGCCGAACAGATATGTTGTTCATGGTTAGTTCATGTTAACTAATGCATTAACTAATGTTAACTAATTATGATATTAACGTTAATTGATGCATTAGTAAATGTGTGAGTTAATGTTAACAAATATTAACCAATGGTGAACATATATGTTGTTCATGGTTAATTCATGTTAACTAATGCATTAACTAATGTTAACTAATTATGATGTTAACATGAATTGATGGTTTAGTAAATATTTGGGTTAACATTAACAAATATTAACTAATGCTGAACAGATATGTTGTTCATGGTTAATTCCTGTTAACTAATGCATTAACTAATGTTAACTAATGGAACCTTATTTTAAAGTGTTACCAAGACGGTTTCTTATACTATAGCCTAAATGTTAGTTTAATCTACTACTCTATGGATTTGGAATGCCAAAAGTGAATTTCATTAATGATACCTTGCAACTTTCCCCCCCAGAATAAATTCATCACATAACCTGGCTGTGACCACTTACCTCTTCGAAGAATTAAGGTCAACTTTTACAGACGTTGACCCTGAATGTGTACAAGGTAATCTTAAAGATGTTGTAATCATTTTATTGTCCTCTGTTTTACTTATTTTTATTGCCATTACATTTATTTATGATATATTTAGCAGGTTGGAAGATGTATTTTGAGACTTTGCAGAGGAAGTATTCTTTGGCTCAGCCTGAAAAGGCCCAGAAAAGAAAAACTATGACGAGCATTGCAAAGAACCTTCAAAGAAAGCGACTGGTAAGTTAAGAAACTGGTTAAGCACTTTTTTTTTTCTCTTCAGAATGTAACTATCCTCCTCTCTGTGTTTTAGTGGTTAAGTTACTGTCACGTTTTTCAGTTGCTGGAGACCAGGTCCGGGTTGTACAAACCAACACAGAAAAGGAACTTTGGAAGACCGCAACAATAGAACTGATGTCCGATGAAGATGATGCTATTGTTGATGGAAGGCCAGTGTGAATGGTGAGGTCTCCACCAATCTGCTCTCTGCTAGGTACTATAAAACAGACTAGAGGCTGACCCACACTATGCGTCACACCACCAGCGTATCATGGCAGTTTGAAAATGTTAACTCATATAAAAAATATATATATATATATGCATTAAATTAATCAAACGTGACAGTAAAGACATTTATAATGTTACAAAACATCATATTTCAAATAAATGAAATATAACTTTCTATTGATCAAATAATCCTAAAAAGTCTACAACTGTTTTCAACTTTGGTAATAATAATGAATATTTATTGAGCATCAAATCATCACATTAGAATGATTTCTGAAGGATCATGTGACTTTGAAGACTGGAGTAATGATGCTAAAAAATCATCTTTGATCACAGGAATAATGTATTCCAATAGAAACGTTTATTTTAAATTGTCATAATATTTAACAATATTACTCTTACTTTTTTTTGTATTTTTTATAAATAAAAAAAAGCAGCCTTGGCGAGCATAAGAGACTTCTTACCGATCCCAAACTTATAAACGGCAGTGTACACCTTGAATATTTTATATACACTTTAATTTCTTATTTATTTTTCTCGTATTATTTCATATATTTGTTCCTTTTTTGTTGTCCATGTTGCTTATCTCCATTTTGTTTACTTGTTTGCATTTTAATGTATGTTTATAATGCACTCTCTGTAATGTTCTATTTATTTATATTGTTTACTTGGAATATCTACGTATTATATATATATATATATTATATATATATATATATATATATATATATATATATATATATTTATATATATATATATATGTTACTTTTTATATACACTGTGTACTTTATTCCTTTACATCTGTCCTTTAAAATGATTGGGTAAAAAAAAAATAACGAAAATAAAAAGTTAACAATTTATTTAATGTATGTTTATAATTTTCTTTGGAATGTCCATGATCTTTTTTTCCTTCCTTTGAGATGTTATTACTTCATACTTTTTTTTTTTCTAGTTTTTGTTCCCCCATTCCTCTGTAATGCTTGTTTATAATGCTATTTGGAATGTGTTATAAAAATAAAAATAAAATAATGTCTTAATAAAAATTTCAGACTTTCCCATTGTTCTTTGTGTGTTTAAATATATATATATATATATATATTATAAATTTATTTTAATGAATATATAAAATTGGGGGAGGGAGGTTTGGTATATATTTGAGCAATATCTGCATAGCTGGTATATAACCAATCAAATCACTATGCTATAAGGCCTAGGGTGGGCTCTGTTTAAAAGTAACCAATAAAGTCCGTTTACTGGGTTTTCAATGTGTCCTGCCCTCCAATAGTGGTCTGGGTGTTGGGAGTGGCTTTAAAAGAACAACCAATCCAGTTTGGTTGGAAGGCAAAAAGGTGTGAATGTTTCCTGCAAAAAGGTGTGAATTTTTCCTGCTAAAAACTTTAATGGGATTACTTGCCATGGCAACAAATGGCTCTAGCACGGAAGTATATGTCCACAACATACATCCGATTTGGTATCATTCCGGATGTATGAGGATATATACGAACCCATGGAATTTGACATATCCGGCTACTATACTCCTGGATTCTTCCGAATTTCAGCAGTGTATACAGGAGTATACTGGTCCGGATACACCTATTTTCATGCAGTGGTGTTTGGTGTCGCCCAGCCTGCAGCTCTGCAAATGTCTGTTAGCGAGGTGCCGTGCGCTAGAGCCCAAGAGGAGGCCACACTCCGAGTGGAATGGGCCGTCACATCAAGGGGGCACGGATGGCTTTGCTGCTGGTAAGACAAAGCAATGGCGTCCACTATCCAGTGAGACAGCCGTTGCTTTGAGAGAGCCCTTCCCTTCTGGCTCCCCCCATGACAGACAAAGAGCTGGTCTGAGGTCCTGAAACACCGCGTTCTGTCAACGTAGGTGCGGAGAGCACGTACCGGACAGAGCAGTGCCAAGGCTGGGTCTGCCTCCTCCAGGGGCAGCGCTTGCAGGTTCACCACCTGGTCCCGGAAGGGAGTGGTGGGAACCTTGGGCACGTATCCAGGCCGGGGTCTCAGGATCACGTGAGAGTAAGCCGGCCCGAACTCCAGGCACGCTTCGTCAACGGAGAATGCGTGCAGGTCCCCCACCCTCTTGATGGAGGCCAGTGCAACCAGGAGTGCCGTCTTCATGGACAGAAACTTTAACTCTACCGATTGCAAAGGCTCAAAGGGAGGCCTCTGCAGAGCACTTAGAACTACTGAGAGGGTACGAGGGGAGGACGAGGCGGATGTAGCCTCCTCACTCCCCTCAGGAACCTGATGACCAGGTCGTGCTTCCCTAAGGACTTACCTTCTACTGCTTCATGAGAGGCGGCAATGGCCGCGACGTAAACCTTAAGGGTGGAGGGCGACAGCCTGCGCTCCAACCCTTCTTGCAGGAAGGAAAGCACGACACTGATCTCCGGGGGTCTTCTCCGCGAGAAGAGCACCAGCTGACGAAGAGGTTCCACTTCAACCCGTAAAGGTGTCTCATGGACGACGCTCTAGCGGAAGTGATGGTTGCCGCCACCGCAGGTGGCAGCGAACTCAAACCTGCCTCGTAGCCTGCAGCCTCCAGTGATTGGGACGAGGGTGCCACAGAGTGCCACCCGAACTGGTCCCAAATCAGCTGGACCGTCTGGGGATGGAGTCGCCATTCGCCGGAGATAGGGCGGACCCGTGACAGCTCGTCGGCTGCCAGGTTCCGGTCTCCTGGAATGTACACTGCACGAAGGGACCTCAGGTGCTTCTGACTCCATAGCAAGAGGTGGCGGGCGAGCTGCGACAACCGGCGTGAGCGTAGACCCCCCTGGTGGTTGATGTACACTACTGCAGTGGTGTTTTCTGAACGGACAAGTACGTGTTGACCCCTGAGCAGTGCTCGAAAGCGGTGCAGGGCCAGGCGTACTGCCAGCAGCTCGAGGCAATTGATGTGCATGAGGCGCTGGGGTCCTCTCCAGGAACCCGCGGCTGCATGCCCATTGCACATGGCACCCCAACCCGTGGTAGATGCATCCGTGGAGACAAACGAGATGCCTGGAAACTCGCTGAAGAGGGACACCGGCCCGTAAAAAGCTGAGGTTCGACCACGGGAAGAAGGTTCGGCGGCACGCTGGAGTCACTGGAACTCGGAGCGAGCCGCGATGCCATGCCCACCTCGGGACACAGCTGAAGCGGTCTCATATGAAGCAAACCGAGCGGCGTTGCCGTGGCCGCGGATGCCACATGCCCCAGGAGCCTCTGAAACAGGCTCGAACTGTCGAAGACAAGTCAGCAGTGAGTGCGCGCGCTCGTTCGTGAGCTGCGCGGACATGGCCACCGAGTCTATCTCCATGCCGAGAAAAGAGATCCTCTGCATGGGGCAAAGTTTGCTCTTTTTCCGGTTGACCGGAAGGCCCAGACGGGCTAGGTGCCGCAGCACCAGGTCTCTGTGTTCGCAAACCTGTTCTCGAGAGTGAGCTAACCCAAATGGGAGAACCGCGCACTGATATGCCTGGCCCTCGAAAGCAAACCGAAGAAATGGTCTGTGTCGAGGCAAAATGGAGACATGAAAGTACGTGTCCTTCAGTTCGATCGCTGCAAACCAATACTGAAGCCGAACGCATTCGAAAATGCGTTTGGCTGTGATCATTTTGAACGGTAGTCGATGGAGAGTACGGTTCAAAATGCGCAGATCCAGGATCGGTCGTAACCCACCGGTCTTCTTGGGGACAATGAAGTAGGGGCTGTAAAACCCGGACCTCATCTCGGCTGGAGGGACCGTCTCGATTGCACCCTTCGCCAGCAGGGTCGCAATCTCCGCTCTCATGACCGGGGCATTGCCACCGACCATCGTGGAGCGAACTCCCCTGAAACGGGGAGGAGACCGTGCGAACTGAATCGCGTAGCCGAATCTGATCGTTCTGATGACCCAGCGGGACTCTAGCCAAGCTTCCAGGAAGTGTACCAGCGGGGTCATACGAACCACAGACGTCCCCCGGAGGGGCAGCGAGGCGGGTCGACTGGCATGCGCATAGGAGTTACCCCGCCCGGATGCACAGTCGAAACCCGCTCCCCGACAGAAGAGACCAGGAAGGATGCACGTTCCACGGGTCTGTTCTGCCGGGGGTCTGGCGATAGAGGGGGAGGGGAGTGGCATAGTCGAGGGACGACACACGCTCCCTTCCGCGCCCTCAGAGACAGAGAGGAATGAGTGGGTCGACGCACTGGGACGTCGAGCGCACCCATTCCTGTCTGTGTGCTCAGTGATGATGTCAAGTCTTTCTTTGACCAACTCAGGGTACTGCCCACCCGTGGGTGAGCAGCGGGGAGCTGAGAACAAAAGATTCTTCCCCGGCCCTCCACCGGGGAAAGGAGAGGGCCTGCTACCACCTTCTGGGAAACACTCGACTTCATCACTGAGCAGCCCGTCTCAGGAACGTCGCTTAGCCTGGCGTTTAGCGGGGCGTGCGGCCTGAGGGGGCTGTGACGCCTGCCTGCGGCCTCCTCCACGCCGCGACCCGCATGAAGGCTGCTGCTGGGAGGGAGGGAGGGGAGCTGCAGGGGGGCGTCCTCGGCAGCGAGCAGGAGGAGGCGTCTGTACCGACGGCTGGGTGGAGGCAGCAGCTGGCCGTCGGGGCAGAATGTTTGATCGCCTCCGTCTGCTTCTGGGCAGTCGAGAACTGCTGGGCAAAGTCCTCGACTGCACTGCCGAAAAGGCCAACCTGGGAGAGCGGGGCGTTGAGCAGACGAGTCCGCTCAGCATCCCGTGTGTCTGCCAGGTTAAGCCAGAGATGGTGCTCCTGGACCACACTAGTGGCCATCACCTGACCGACGGAGCGAGCGCCACCTTCGTCGCCCTTCGTCGCCGAGAGGCAAGGTCGGTGGAGGCTTGCAGTTCAT